TAAAATGAAACCTAATCTATTTTTCTTTTAACGGCTCCAATGATCATAAAAAAGCAGTTTGAGTCAGTTGGGGGCAGCTAGATTTGCATTTAATTAACCTTTATATTAAACTGGCAGGATTGGAGAGAAGTACGCTTTTAGGTACTCATTCATTAGAAGAAAAGTTTGAACACGAAAAAAGGGGGAGGGGTGGGGGGTTCTGTAGAAAGGTTATGAACAAATAATATCCAACCTGCGGTAGATAACTCTTTGAACAGCTGCAGTTTGGAGAAACTGGTTATTTCCAGACCGATGAGTTGGTTTGAAAACCAAAGTGGATCGCTGCCATCTGAAAACCACCGCCAACATTTTATAAGCGTTCCACCAAGTCCTTTAAAAAAATAAAATAAAATAAAATAAAAACTTTACATTTCCTTTTACAGCTACAGTAGCAAAAATATTATGATAATTCTGCCCAAAGTTCTGCAGGGTGCATTGAAAACTACAGCTAGCTGCTGCTATTTGTGCTGCAACTAATCTGATGATTCAATGAGAATAAGCCAAATATGAGAAATTGATGTTTTTTTGTACAGGTTTATACAAAGTTAGCATGAAGTGCTTGTACTATTTTTATTTATTTATTTATTTATTTATTTATTTTGTGGAGTTGTTTTAGTAGAAGTGTGGCAAGTGGCTCAGTTGGTAGAGCTGTTGCCTCTCAGCGAGAAGGTCGCCGGTTCAAATCCCAGCCGGGGACCTTTCTGGGTGTTCTCTCCGTGCATGCGTTGGTTTTCTCCTGGTGGTCCAGTTTCCTCCCACAAACCAAAAACATGCACGTCAGACTGACTGGTAACTCTAAATTAGGGGGAGTTGTGGCACAGAAGCTAGAGAAGATGAGCCTGTGATCGGAAAGTTGCAGGTTCAACTCCCGATACAGTCAGTATCAAAATGTGGGTGGAAAAGGTGAAACACCTGCCTCCACCCTCATTTGCTCCACTCTGGGCCCCTGAGCAAAACCCCCACCATCTGCTCCCAAAAACAGGTCTCTCTTGAAAATGAGTTCTCGTGACTTAATGAGCTACCTGTATAAATAAAGATTAATTTAAAACATGTCCCTAGGTGTGAGAGAGAGAGAGTGGATGGTTGTTTGTCTCATTTATCTTTATGTGTCCCTGTGATGGACTGGAGACCTGTCCAGGTGTCCCTGTGATGGACTGGAGACCTGTCCAGGTGTCCCTGTGATGG